GAGAGGTATGGATATTTTAACAATGTTAATCTTTCTAATCCATAAGTATGTAATAGCTTTCCACTTTTTTGTGTCTTCTTCAATTTCTTTAAACAATGTCTTAAGAGTTTTCAGCATACAGGTGTTTCACCTGCTTGATTAAATTTATTCTTAAGTATTTTATTCTTTCTGATGTGATTGTAAATAGGACTGCTTTCTTGATTTCTCTTTGTGATAGTTCATTGTTAGTGTATAGAGACACAACAGGTTTTTGTATATTAATTTTGTATCCTTCAACTTTACTGAATTGATTAGTTCTAACAGTTTTTTGGTGGAGTTTTGAGGGGTTTCTAAATATAGCACCATGTTATCTGCAAATAGTGACAGTTTTGCTTCTTTCTTTCCAATTTGTGTGCTTTTTACTTCATTTTCTTGCCTAATTGCTGTGGCTAAAACTTCTAATACTATGTTGAATAAAAAAGGGGATAGTGGGCATCTGTGTCTTGTTCCTGATCTTTGATGCAAAGTTTTGGCTTTTAACTACTGAGTATTATATTAGCTGTGAGTTTGTTGTAAATGGCCTTTATTATACCCACTTCATTGAGGTTTTATTAGAAACAGACATTGAATTTTGTTAAATGTTTTTTCTGTGTCCTTTGAGATGACTGTATGATTTTTATCTTTCATTTTGTTAATGTGGTGCATCATATTGATTGATTTGCAAATACTGAACCATCCTTATATCCCTGGAATAAATCTCACATGATCATGGTGTATGATCCTTTTACTGTATCATTGAATTCAGTTTGCTATTTTTGTTTTTGAGGATTTTAGCATCTATGTTCATCAGAGATATTGGGCTGTAATTTTCTTCTTTGTGGTGTCCTTGTCTGGCCTCATAAAATGAGTCTGGAAATTTCTCCTCTTCAATTTTTGGAAGAGTTTGAGAAGGATAGGTATTAACTCATCTTTGAATAGGTGGTAGAATTCACCAATGAAGCAGTCTGGTACTTGACTTTTGTTTGTTGGAAGGTAAAATTAAGCAATCTTAAATTTGAATTGCAAATACTGGTATAACCCATGACGTATTTCAAAAAATATCTATTTCCTTTCTCCATCTACTGGGAAGGTCTAGAATGACCAGCCAAAAGCAGTGAGCATCCCTCCCCCAACCTTAGTGCCCTGATCATCCTCTTAAATATAAGTACATTTAATACTAAATGAAACCAGGTAGGAATAGAGTTTGAATTTGGGGCAATAAGGTACAAGATGATCCAGGACATCCTATTGTATCAGAAAGCAAAGAAATAATCAAAGATTAGTAGAGTCAGGAGTCCTAGAACATGAAGGGTTGTCCACCTGTCAAGATGGGTCAATTTTAGGTTCAAAACAAATAATGACTGCAGGTGATGGAAATACACTGAATTTAAGAAAACCTATGCTTTCATATTGATTCTCAGGAAAAGAGCAGGGGAAAGAAAGGAAAGAAGGAAAGAAGGAAGGGAAAAGAAAAAAAAGGAATAATCTGTTCAATGTTGGAGGTAACTGGGAGACCAGTTCCTCCCTGAAATTGGGAATTAGGATTCATAGTGTACACTGTGTTTAGGGTAATGGAACAGAGGGATGAGGTGTGGCACTTCTTTTCAGTTTCAGCTACTAAATGAGAAAATATGGATAGAAAATTGCATTTTGAATACCTTAAGGAAATACTTAATAAAGGCAAAGATCATGATGGATGAGACCATTAGATATGAAGCTGAGGGGGAACTGATAATGTAGGGATCAGTCTTAGTGTCCCTGAGAGGGGGACAACTAGACACTGTCCTGATGTGCTGTAGTATGAAATATGGGAATTATGCTTGATAACAACAACATAGTAGAAATAATCTAAGCAAGGTTTTTGCATGAACTTCCAGTTTACAGGGGGGCAGGGGAACAAGTGAAGTGACCCTACAAGGACATAAAGGGGACTTTCCCAACACAGGACATTCCATGGAATGATCTACTGGGATCTGCCAACCAGGTAATGGCACCAGGAACCAAGAGGGCCCACAATGAAAGGAGACATGATCTATAGTGACAGAAGACAGAGGGTGGTAGCTGGGAGTTGGTGGGGCTGGGGAGGTGTACCAGGGAGAAATTACTGAGGGTACATGGGAGCTCTCAGGGCCAATGTGTTTGCTCCTTATCTTGTGGTGAGGGTTCCACAGTGTACATACATGTATATCTACATCAAAACTTACCAAACTGTGCACTCTGAAAATACCAACTTTATAATATGTCAATTATACCTTAATAAAGCTATTAAATTTTTAAAAATGATTTAAGAGACATGAAAATCAAATACATGCTGTGAAGTTTGTTTAGGTCCTGTTTTCATCGAAACCATAGTAAAAAGACATTTTTGGAAATTTTGGGGAAATTTGAATGTGGACTGGTTATGAGATTAAGGAACTTTTATTAATTTTAGCAGGTGTGATAATGGCATTATAATTATGAGAGAAAGTGTCCATATTTTAATGTAAAGTTTTCATTGAAGGAAGACACACAAGTGCACAAACTGTAGGTGTATGCACAAGGTGAGCACACGTGTGTAACCTGGATCCAGATGGGGAAACAACATTCCAGCACACCAGAGCCTTCCTGTCACTGCTTCTCCCAACTGTAACCACAAGACCCCAAGGCCAACCAGTGCTCCAACCAAAGATTACATTTTCTTGGTTTGAAACTTTATATAAATGGAATCATACAGTATATACTCAAGTTATGAGTTTGGCTTCTTTAGCTCAACTAAAGATGTCTGTGAAATTCATCCATATTGCTGTGTGTACATACATTTTAGACATACATGTTTGGTGGTGAGATGACATGTGGTCTGAGATACACCTTAAAACACTTGATCTAAATCAAACCATTATGTGGTATACCTTAAACTTATACAGTGATGTATGTCAATTATTTCTCTGTAAATCTGGGGGAAAATTTAAAAAGAATGTACAGATACATTTGGATGTATAATTATTTATTGTATATGTGTATCTGTCTATATGCAAAGAAATTGAAATTACCTAACTGAATTAACTGTTAACATTATCATTCCATATACAAAAACAACTACATTTTACCTAAATGAATTAATATTAATACAATTAATACTAACTTTTGATCTGCTTGTTTGCACTTCATATCATGAACATCTTTCTATGTCAAGTCAATGAATGCGATCTTCACCATTATTGTTTGAGAGTTGCTTTTTATGGGTGTATAAAAGCATTAAAAAATCCCTACTTTAGCAACAATAAAAAGGGGCACCAGATGAATCTAGATGACAGCCTAAATGAATCTGGGAGATGGGTACGTGGGGTTAATCATATTATTCCCTTCCGTTGGGTATGCTGAAAAAATTTTATATTGAAATGTAAAGAGATAGGTTGTGGTACAGAGGCAAAAGGCAGACTTTCTGGGGCACAGAAACTGCTCTGTGTCACATCACTTCCTCATTGGAGACAAACTAAGATACGTCCCTGACTCCCTCACATTAAACTTGAACCTTGTGACTATGTTCTGGCAAACAGAATGCAGTCAGAAACAATGTAATCCCTGGCTGGGCTTTGCGAGCACCAAATAAAGCTCCTATATGGTGAGTGGAGGAGCTGTTGGTACTTCTACTCCTGAAGACCAGCCTGGCCTGATCCTTAGGTCTGAAGCCACGCCTGCATCGCTGGCACTCACTGTGCTCAGCCGGCACACCCCAGACCACACTGGGGACTGCACCATATACTTCTGGGTGCCTTCCAGGGCTTGCCCAGCTGTTTCCAAGGGACTCTGAGATGCCAGAATTGCTTTTCATGAGATACTGTGATCTTTCCCCTATGCCTTTTAAAGTTCTTTCATTGTTTTGGTTTTCCTTCACCGGGGATTTATTTTTTCAATTTGATGGGAGGTAGGGATATGCTGTTTTTTCTTTTCTAAATAAAAAATTGTTCCAGCCTTGTTTATTGATCAGTTCCAACTAGTTGGTGCACACTTTCAGACTCCTGTGTAGGTTTCTAGAAATAGTTGCTTAATGAAAGTTTTGAAGATGTATGTGGAATTTGTTCCTTAATTTATGGCCAATTTCCAAGAGTGAATCATCTTACAATAGAGTACAGTAAAGTCATGAAAATCACTAGGATTTTACTATAGCAAATAACTATTTTGAAACTTATCTGTTTCCATAATATGGCTCTTCAACTTTTTATCTCCTGCTCTTATCAGAACATGGAACTGCGGCTTGTGTGGTGTGCACCATACTGGTGCAGCCTGTCTCTGACTCATGGCTGCTGTTGCTCAGTGAGTCAGATCCAGGATTCTTTCTGAGGCTTGCCCTCTTGGATCCTGTGTTATCTGCCCCAGAAATTTCCCCAAACCTACTTTCTACCACCTTTTCCTGCACTCCATACTTCAGCCATCAGCCTTCCTGCTGGTCCTCAAATGCAATGTGCAGGATCCTTTCCTAGTAACTCGACATTCTATCTCCCAAGAGAGTAATGTCTCCTTTATAGCAGAAACATTGTCAGTTTTTTTCACTGCTATGTCCCTCATGCCTAGAGTGGTGCCTGGAGAAAACATGCTTTCCATATTGTCGAATGATGTGTATTCATCATTTATGTGATGGACAAGTTGTGCCAAAATTTAATCCTATTAGTGTGTTTGGTAGTTAGTTGTGATACAGAATGAAAAAAATAAATCACTTATGCTATCAAATCCCAGGCACCTATTTGGAGATTGTCACTCTTGCATTATTCAACCAGACTCCAGGCTGACATCTCGCTCTCCCTTGTCTTCCCATATTCCATTCCCAGCATCACAGCTGTCTCCAGTCTCTCTCCTCCTCCAAATACGGACCCCTCTCCAACTGCCTGAAGTCTGCCCCAGCCACCAATGAACCGTTTTGCAAAGCATCAGTCAGTTGCCTCCCAAACAAAGCCCCAGCCTTGCTCATTGGAAACTCTGACTCTTAGCTTTCATGAGATTCATACCTGTCCCTCTATGATCCATCTGGAGATGGACGTCTTCCCATCATAGCCCGGCCGGAACTGAAGAGTGGCTGAGCGAGGGCTGATGTTGGAAATGACCAGGTTGGATGGGGCACCAGGGAGTTCTAGAGATAAGTGAGAGAGGAGAAGTGAGAGTTAAATTCTGTCACAGTTTAGGAACTGATCAAACATGTCAGCAACTAAATGGTCTTAAATGCCTTAATGACAAAGGATTTGTTTTCAAAACCATGAAAGTGAGAAGCACAGCTTCCCCAGGACCATGATCACAACATGATTCTTACTTTAATAGGGTCACCCATTGAGCCCCATGCATCTGAAGTGGCATTAGGATCCATATTGATGTGGCCTCCTAGATGACAAAGTCTGAAGGTCAGGATCATGTCTCATTCATCTCTGTACAAGGTACACGATTAATAGACACTTAGTGAATGAAGAAAGGGTGACTGTCATTCTCCTGGGCTCCTAAAAGAACACAAAGAATTGAAGGTCCATCCTCCCTTTGACAATAATCGTGATGCCCTGGAGAGCAGAATGGGAGCTGGACATGGGCACATGCTGTGTGTCACGATGGCAGCCTGATTTGCATAGATGTGAGGGTCCTGAGCCTTAGGCTTCCTGGGTCTGGTTTCTAAGGCAACCAAGTTCAGGTGAAAGTGCAGAAATCTTCCCACTCTGCCTGTGTTCAGTTGCTCAGTCAACTAGACGAGGGACAGGTGGGACTGAACGAAGCTCCCGTTATCGGGGGTCAGGTGTGGTGTAAGCCCTCTCATCTGGACAGCATTTCACTTGCCTGCTGTCAGTGAAATGCTGTGAAATGTTGTCAGTTCAAGATGAGAGCTCTTCTGTTATTAGGCAATGCAAAACATCCGAGAGAAAGACAATAGGACAAAATGAAGGGAAAGGATGCCCTGCAAGTAGCAGAAGAGGCTTTCAGACTGCACAGTTTCTGAGGAATGGATTCCTAATTTGCCATTGCTCAGGATATTTAAAACCAGGTCTTGCACAGGGACAGTAAAACCACTTTGGTGATCAACTCAGTGTGGGTACAGGCAAGGAGGTCTCTGGGACCTCGAGGGTCCTTCCCACATCGACTTTTATGAATTTGAAGCAGAAAATGTTTAAATGGAGCGACAAGTGGCTCTTTTCTTTCTATTTCTTAGCTCTCTGAATTCTTTAAATGGTTCTTCAGTCATTAATGGATGTAAACTTCAAGCAGAGGCAACAGAATACCAGCCCCTGAAGTGACCATCTTCCTATGATTTTGCTTCTTGGCAATACTCAGAGTGCTCAGGCATGTCCTGGGACTGGTTTCCAGCTGCAGGCGGTCTGACCTGGAAATGAAGGCCCAGCGGCCCCACTTCCCCCTTTCTCCTGGGCTGTTCAGTGCAGCGAGGCCCCATCTCTCCAGAATTCTTGCTGCAGTGCTAGGCCACAGTCAGGCTGGAGGCAGAGGCCTTCTGGAGGTCAGCTAGCCTGCTTCCCTGTCTCGGCTGGAAATGTCCAAGCCATCCTAGGGAAGCACCTGGTCACATCCACAGAGATGCCCCCAGTGTCATCCTCAGCCACTGTGTGTAAGATATTTCTGACAAACTTAACAACATGCCATTACCACCATCACTAATTATTAAATTATTAATAATATTCTGAATGTGTGTGTGTACCATGGCAACTGGCTATTTATGTAGGATAAATGAATCTTTCTGTAGGTCAAAGACTTTTTTCTTAAAAAAGGAAAACTTATTTTGTAAATGCCTTTAAAAAAATCCCAAATTGCCTCCAAGTGTGGCCCCCGACCAACAGCTTCCGTCCCACCTGAGAACTTGCTCCGGAGGCGCGTTCTCCAGGCCTGCTCCAGACCAGGAATGAGAATGTCGGGAGCAGGCCCAGCAGGCTGTCCAACAAGAAGCCCCCGACTCCATAGAACACTGTCTTTGACGGGGAACAATGCAGACTGCCTGTCTATGGCAGAAGGGCTTGCTTTGAGACTGCTGTGCTCCAGGTCCCTGACTGGCAGGGTAGATAATGGCTTCCAGAAAGTACTCTCTGAGGTCCCACTGCTCAAGGACCTTCTCAGCCCCCATGTATAAAGTGCTGGGCTCCTCATTAGACGCAATGCCAGAGACGGGAAGCGGCGAAGGGTGGGCACACTCATTCCTGCGGGAACCTTTGCTTTTCTGTGCATGCCTGACCTGCTTTGTATTCACTGCGGATCATGGTATCACCCCTCCAAGACAGCCATCAGGTCAGGAGACCTGACCTGTCTGGGGAAGCCTTGTGGGGTGCATGCTGGCTTAGGGGAGCCCCCAAGGCCCTCTGCTCCTCTCAAAGACCAAGTGAAGCAAATTGACATCTTTTAAATAGCAAGAGACTAACAGCTTTACTGATAGCCCCAGGGCATTTTCTCACATTCACATGTATTTGTAAATTCCTTGGAAAAATACTTAAATTAAAAATTTTTAAATTTTAGAGAAAAGATTGAGTGCAATTTTACAAAGCTGAAATGCATGTGCTGACCATTTAGGAACAGAATCTGAAACTGAGAAAGGACAGGAGTGTGGATACAGCCCACACCTGAGAGCCGGTCCAGTCACCAAGGTGCCTTCACACGAGCACTCCACATGTTCCCCGGGCTCTCTCGCACTACATCTTTCCTTCCCACCCTCTCCTACATTTTTTCTTATCTCAAACCCAAATTAATTCTCACTCTTTTGCTGAGTGAATAGTTTGTGCTTCCTATTCTCATCTTTAGTATGGATGTTCCTGTCTCTTGGCCTCAGTTAGAGCCTGCGATTTCCTCCTGTGTGACCGCTGGCTTGGGTCCCGGGAGGGCAAGGCCTCAGCAGCAGCGCAGCCTCTGTGGACTCGGGCCTCTCCTCCTGCCCTCCAACCTTCGCACAGATCCACACCCTGACAGAAGATGGGGCAAGCCATGATCAGAAGACACTGGAAGATGGGCTGATGTTAGGCCACCGTCCATGTACCACCCAACCATCATAGCAGGAAGCTGACACCCTCTTTCAGAGCCCCCCAGGACTCTGCACAACCATGCTAGTGAGCTCTCAGCAGCAGCTATCTTTAAGGGAAACGCAGTAGCAGGAAACTGCAGCACGATTTTACTGACCTGGGGGAACTCCAGAAGAAATGGTGGATGACGTCACCAGGCCCGCCCCCACTGCAGTGACAGCAGCCACGTCAATGGTGTATGTGGTGAGAGATGACAATCCTTTGATTGTGTATTCGTGCGTTGTGCTATTTAGAGTGTGAGTGAGCCGGGAGTCGTTCTTGCCGTATACCTCCCAGGAAACCAGGTAGCCTAGAAAGCGACAGCACAGAGTCAGTTCAGGGGCTCCTGACAGCCAAGGTAGAAGCTGGGGGCTGACATCTTTGCAGATCACATCTGCCAAGTCTGATGAGACTCGGCTGCCCGGCTGAAAGCATGCTGGGGATCCAGCTCCCTCCCCTTGCCTGGAGCAGTCTCTGTTGCACCCCTTCCATCTGCAGAGGCCTGGCTTCCCTGAGATAGTGAGAGGCAGGAGGATCAGGCCTGCCGGGCATTTGGGAACCTTGGGGCCTGGTGCGGGGACTGAGGGCTGAGATTGCCAGCCTGCTGTGCTCGGTTTACCCTTCTTGTATCAAATTATGGATGCATTTCATCAATATTTCCATTTTTATAAGCTGATATTTTCATTATACAGTATTCTAAATTAGTAGCTTGCTCCTGGGTTGCACCTAATTTGTGGGAAACCCTGTTACATTTTCCCTTATGAAATGACTGATAGATGCTCTTCCATTGTGCCAAGCGCTTTGCCTTAGAGTTTTTCTTTATCAGCATGTGCCAGTTTTGCTTCCAGTTTTGCATCCTGCCTTCTGAACCTCCTGTTGCCCTGGTAGAATCTGATTTTCTCCTGTGCTGTGTTCATTCCATTGGGTCCTCATGATCACAAGTTGTTCACCCCTGGCTTCCATTGTGATTTTGGACTCAGACCCCAAAGACCCAGCCAGCTCCTGCATCACCTCCTTGGAGTGGAGTCACGTGGTCGGAGAGTGCTTAAGAGCATCTTCTAAAGAGGGAGCAGGCGACAGAAAGAGCTCCTGGGCCCAAAGGCAAGGGAAACTGTAAAAATGTTTGCTCTGCCTTTTTTCCAGTCAATAAACTAAGGACATAGAGGCACTAGGTGGAGCCTTAAATTTGCTTCTCATTCTGATGAAAGCAGTAAATATAGTTAGAAACTGTACTTGCAGGTAAGCAAGAGTTTATTGGAAAACATCTTGGGACTTCAATATTTTGAAAGAGAAAATTAATGTCAGAAGCCCTGCCTGTCTGTGGTCCCACCACCTCATTGAGCCCAGCGGCTTGTCACTGGCAAGGGGGCTCCCGTGCTGGGAAGGTGCGGATGGGACAGCCAGGCAGTAAAGGCAAGCAGGGGCCCCATCACTGGTGACTCAGAGCACGTCAGGACCCCCCATACCCACTCTGGGTCTCTGCCCCAGGCCTGTGTGGACCACTGGGCCCATCTTGACCTGTGGGTTCTCAGCCTTGCCTCTTTTACCTGCCCACAGGGCAGGTAGCTGCTGACTGACTGCTCCTAAGATGCCCTTCTCCCACTGCTACCCCCGGGCCCTGGAATCTCCTTCCTCCCTTATACCCCCGACTCCTTCTCAGAACTAAAATAATGATGTGCTAAGATCAGTCAGTTCTATCGTTTTTGCTAATCAGAATTTTGGAACTAAATGTACAATGAGAAAAAACCTTCTGGGCAATGAGCTAGAGAGCATTCACAGCCTTCCTGGAGGATCCTGAGTACGTCACAGACATTAGTTCATTCAATCCCCAATAAGCCTTTGATGTTGGAGCCAGCATTACCCCCCTTTAACGAAGGAGAAAACCAGGGCACAGGGAGCATCATGAACTAGCTGGAAACTGGCAGGGTTCCCAGGGCTTGCCCAGGCTCCTGACCTTGGTGGGTTATGCCTGATAAATCTCTAGACAGTTTGATACCCAGGGTCTTCCCTGAATGGAAGAGAAGGCTTTGTTTAATATTACAACCTTGTCAGCAGGACAATTTTATTCATTTAAAAGCTGCTCTTCATCAACATTTGCTAAAATACTGCATCTGGCTCATGGCAACCTGGAGTCCGAATATAGCAATTCTAGCATTTGTAGTGGGTCAGCATTGCTAGGGCCCATTAGCATCAAAACTGATAATTTGGTATGCTACAAACAAAATCAAGTGATACAAACAAAATCAAGTGATAACTGAAGACATTCTCCTACTCAGGAAAGGCACAAGTAACAGAAGCAAAAAAAGCAATCAGAGATGGCACATGGTGCTGGCCGCACAGATGGACAGAGCTGTGGGCGTGTGCTGGGGAGAGAGGCCCTCCGATCTGTGCACAGCTTCTGGGGACATGCACGGTAGTGCTGGACTGCAAATGTTTTATCTGGCTCCAGTGTGCGGGAGGAGAGACCTGCCCCAAGCCAGGAGCCGGGCGCTTCCAGTTGGCGTCCTACCTGCTCCAAATGGCTGCCTGAGACTAATGACCGGAGGAGCTTCAGAAATAATTTTCTGTTGATCTGAAATAAATTCTCTACAAGAAAGCAGCATATCCAATCACAAACTGTCTGTCTGCATCCTGGCCCTCATAAATCAGAGTTTACAGAGGGAGAGTGGAAGATGCTGAAATTTACAACAGAGTGCAATAGGCAATTTGCTGGGCAGTGCAATGCCGTCCTGCTGGGCGCTTCCCTCTCATTCTGTCCTGAATAGAATCTGGGGCTGAAGGTGTGCATCATGCTGATAAAGTGTGGCTCCCTATGGGGGTCTGGACCACAGAGTGGCCCCATGCAGAGGACCAAGCTCTTATGCTGTTGTCGGCCCGGCAGCTGCCTTTACCAGCAGTAGCAGTAAGAGGGAGGCTTTGGAAGGACAGCCCTGGTGCCACATTGATGTTTACTGAAAGTGGCTTTTGGAGGCCAGGCTGCCCACATGCATTTTTCTTTTGCTGCACGTGGTAAAAGCTCCATCTCCAGCATGGTATAGACCTCTGTGATGCAGCCGGCATGCCGTACTGGAAACCAAGCTGATACTGGCATGCTGACCTGTCTGTGGGGGCAGAGCATCCAGTGCCAGGGAGAGCCTCACTGAAGGCAGGGGTCACTGGCCGATGACTGCAGGGATGTCATCAAGGCCAAGGAAATACCCCCTCTAGGTAGGCTCTTCTCCTCCATGGTCCTTTCCAGATTGCTGGGCATCCACAGCAGCTTCTGGAACTCCAGGCACATTTTATAGGGTGGGTGGGACAGGGAACATCACTGGCCAGCCTGAGTGAGATGGGGACAATGTGGCCACTGAGAGGGAAAAGCAATGTCTGCCTGGCTCCCATCTGGACTCTTGGTGCTGCACCAGAACAGGGAGACCCCAGCCCAGGTCAGGGCTGCAGGCCCTGCTGACTCTAGCTCTGAAAAGACAGCTTCCAAGGCCAAGTTCCATTATTAACAATAGGCTGTTGCTTGTAACTACAGGTATTTGTTTAAATAAAATACGAAAATGAGTTCATTAAGCCCTATTAGCTGGTGAGAACAGATGATCATAAATTGAAAGTATTGGCAACCACCACTTAGCCATGAAATGCTGGCTCCATTCAGTGATCACACCCAGGGATTTCCTTGAAGATTTAAAGCAAGAATGAAGTGTGCCATGTGTTTACAAAGGACAGGGCCAGGGCAGCTGTGTGCATCTGTAGGAAGGAAAGTCCTTCCATCCAGCAGGATCCCTGAAACTCGGCGGACTGTGAATGCAAGCAGCTGTGTGGGCAGCTGCGAAGGGCCGCCCCTCACCCAGGCAGCCCTGCTCCTAAAACCAGTGGTTAAGTTCAGCTCTAATTCAGGCTGCAGAATTGGTCCTAGGGGTGTGAGCTGGAAAGCCTCTTCTTGATGGCAGACTCCTGCTAAGCTGCGGTGTTTCTGTTTGTTTTTTACTCTCTTTGCGTGGCTCCCTCAGTGTAAACTAAACTGGGTCTTGCTGTCCTTAACATCCCTCCTTGCCACCCCCACTTTTTATTTAACATTCAGCACTTGTAGTCCTATGTAGGAAGACTTCAGAGCAAACAAAAGATTGGGGATTTATATCCAAATTTTGATAATGACTTTTCCCCATTCCTGGAGTTACATTATTTAAAACAGGTATTTCAAAACATCAGTTTCTTGAGGGAAAACCAGGTTTATAAATTTGCTTTCTTTAGAAGTTAGGAGTAGAGGTGGCACCATGGCAAAGGTGCCCTCAGTGATGTGGTCTGAGCGTGCCATTCTAGAAAGGGGTTCTGGCCTAGCACAGCTGGCTAGACAGCATTTTGTGGAGAAGAAGTAGGAGGAGTTGGCCCCAGGAGGCATCCTGGGAAAAGAGGAGGTCCATTGGGAGCATACCCCAGGCTGTGCACTGGCGCCCCAAGAGCCCTACATGGCGCAGGGGACAAGGATGCTGGGTGCCTCTTGCCTGTGTCTGTGGGATGCTGTGTGAGCCTCTAGCTTGAGTCATTCCCCACTTCAGTATCACAGCCACAAGCATTTGGGTGCATCCTGTCTTTGCAAAGCTGAGTTTTCAGTAGCTGCTGTGATAAGGAAATAAGTACTATATGGAAGCCAACGTGGAACAGGAAATTAAGGTGGTGGGTCCACGCCCTGATTCCAAGTTTGAGCAGCCAGGCAGTGCCAGCTGTGCCAGATGCCATCAGGAGTATGAGGAGCACACACCCCATTTCTTTGAGAAGGGAACACAACTGTTTTTTCTTTCTATTAATGAGCATTATTTTTTCAAATGGCCATCAAGTTACTAGCACATAAGCTCTAAGTTGTTTGTGCCCACTCTCCATAAACAGCTGTTGGGCACCTCTGTGTCATGCACAGGGGGCTGCACAGTGAGCCTCTGTGACCCACAGGGACAGGGAAGCTCTGGGTGGGTGTCAGGAGTGTGGTGGGAACTCTGCCCAGACACTGCCAATGTGGAGGAGAGAACATGGTCACGTGCTGGCCACGGGGACACGGCTGCCCAGGCCTCAGACAGGGGTAACAAGAAGCACCTGTACGGCGATCCATAGTGCTGATGTGTCTACCGGAGGGAAGCCAGGGAACCAAAGTGCTTTCACTTAAATCGGGGGTCACCATCCCCCGCAGCTTCACCTGAAGCCAAAGCTTGTGCTAGTTTTATCAAACCTAGAATTTTTTTTCCAAACACATTTAAATTAAGCTTAACCTGGATGGTTTCTGAGAAAGTTTTTCTGTAAAATAAAATCAGTGAAGACTCTATGAAAGGTGAGGCCCAGAGGCCTTGGGAAGCTTTGCCCCTTTGCATGTTGGGCCCTAGGATGTGCCCAGGGAAGCTCTCCCAGCCTCGCCTGCCTCTCTTTGTCCTGTGTTCTCCTCAAGGCACTGCAGGGTGGGCACGGAGACCCAGACCTGGTCCTGGCCTTGCCCTCATGGCTGCAGACCAGGGCAAGATGCTGGTCTGAGTGTCTGGTCCCTGCCCGGAGGGCAGTACTTCGGCAAAGTGCCTGTGCACAGCAGGCACTCAGCACATGTGTGCTGGGTGAGGACAGGTCATCCCACCTCTGTAAGCCTCAGTTTCCTCACCTGTGGGATGTCACACTTCTCATATCTGCCTTCCTGTGCTGCTCCAGGGTGAAGGAGGCAGTGCCAGTGAGCAACCACACCCCAAAACAGCTGTATGGGTGTTAAGATAACACAAGGAGACTGAATCTCCCAACACGAGGCTACAGCCCTGGCGGGGAAGAACCCTCAAGGGGGCTGGGCCCTCGGTGGCCGGCCCTGACTTGGTGACCGAGCCCTCTGCCTCTGCCCCGGGACCAGCAGTACACCCGTTCCCTGCGGAGGCCGTAGTCTTGTTGGTTGCTGTACCCATCTCTGTGGTGGGGCAAGCAGGTATTTTCTCTTTGGGAAGACAGAAGTACGAACCTGTAATGATGCCATTTTTCTCCAGGGGCTCCTGCCAGCTGACCTTGAGAGATGTGTCCAGAATCTCTGTGAAACTCAGATGCCCCACAGCTCCTGGTTCTAGCAATGAAAAACAAAGTCATCTGTTACCAGAGTAGGCACATTCTCTTTTGATCAGATTTGTGTGGAAAGTTCTAACTACACAGGGAAGTGGTGAGTCAGGGCAGGAACCCATAGGAAATGTCCGAATGGTCAGAAGGGATGAGGGAATTCGAGACATTAAAGACATCCTGGCTATAGTCATATAAATTCTTTTACTCAGCTTCACCCCAGCCATGCCGAGAACTGGAGAGACTGGAGGCAGCAGGTTCATACCTGACTCGTTCTCCCTGCTGATCTAGTCTAATTGGAACAACCAGGCTGTTGGGATCCTGAAAAGCATGCCCTTGCCCCCAGTGTCCCCCACATGCCTTTGCAGCCGAGGGGCTTGTGCGGGGCCAGCAGGACCTGTAAAGTCAGGGCAGGGGAGCCTTGGCCCAGGGCAGGGCTGGCTCACACAAGGCCCCAGGGCGATGCCTGCTGACCCCCCCAGAGTTCCAGGCTCCACACCTGGACATACTCTCCCGAGGGATTGCACAAGAGCAGGGCCGTGACTTAGGAAATTTGCAGCAAAAACATTATCTTTCCCAGGAATTCCTTTGCACCAGAGCCCTTCTCCTGACCCATGAGTGCAAAGGAACAGAGCTGTGGTTTAATGCTGGCGTCAGCAGGGTTTGAAACCTGGCTCTTCTGCTTGCTGGCCATGGAATTATTTAAACTAATCATTAATATGCTCATCTGTAAAACAGTAAAATAAAAATAACTCACTCTGCAAAATAATTCTGAGAATAAAAATTTACTAGAACATGAAAGCAGTGAGTAGGTCCCTGGCACCACAAAACCACATTAGCTGCATTATTATTATTGCTGTCATTGCTGGTGATCCTGCCATCAGAGTGCGAAGTCATTTCATGATGAGCTCATTGCCACTTTGACATGCACCTGAGGGAGAAGGCCTGAAAAGCTGAAGTATTAAGCAGAGGAGGTATATAGATCCAAGATCACGGGTTCTCAGAGTCAGAGGGACGTTAGCAATCTCCTGCCTGCATCCCCTTCCCATTTGCAGAATTTCACATCAGGCCCAGATCAGGAGGCAGCTGTTCCAGGACACACAGCCACCTGGCACATTGCTGGGTCTGACAGGCGATCTCCTGTTCGCCTTAGAGGGACAGCAGGGCAAAGACTAAATCACCCGTGGGTGGGACCACAGAAGTGTCCAGGGGGCTCTGACCCCCACCTCAGGCTGCAACTCCCCAGGGTTTAGAGCCCTTACTGCTCTGACAACAGATCCCACCAGGGCTGGCCTCCCCATGTGGTGACAGGGAGCAGGAAGAGGATGCCTCACAGCCCAAAGGCAACTGAGCCAAGACTGATGTTCTCACAGGCGGCTGCCTCCTTCCCAGCTCTGCATGAGCTGGACAGCAGATGGAAACGGAATGCTGTCCAGGTGGCTGGGTTTAGGAGGGACTGGGGCAGGGTAAGGGCGGAAGGGGCGCCCTCTTTGCTGGGCCTGGCATCATCCATGGTGGTCACAGCAGACATGGCTTTGCCCAGGTTCACTCTGTCTCCTCTCTGTACTGTGCCCCTTCCCCTCCTCTCAGTGCCCAATGCAGGAGAGACGCAGGGGCAAAGTCGGGGCAGAAGAAAGGGATGCTCGGAGGCAGAATCGGAAACAAAGCAGAAGGAGAAGGAGATTGGAGAGGGGCAACGATGGAGTTCTTCCCATACAGGTCAACGTGCTCCCTGCAGGTGGGGAGCGCTGGGCTCTGGAGCTCGGTGCCATAGGTGCCCCAGCGGACCTCTAGATAATCACACCAAGGTCTGTTGGCTGATTACAACATGCAATATTTTAAGCCTGAAGTAAGGCATGAGTGTTGGTGTTCTGCCAGAGAGTGGGGTTCAGGGGACCCCTTGGATGCACCCCTCCTGGCTCTAGCACTGCTGGCCTTGCTTGCACCGAGGCAGACTTTTAAAGTGAACTCAGTATCTGTGCTCAACTGGTACCTGGACCAAGTTTCCTAACACAACTTGTAATTTTTAAAAAATGGCAACAGTTTCAGCAAATACACTCATCTGGCTGAAACTTTCAAAAGACTTTTTATGGGTCAGCTCAAACACTCTGACAAATGTCACTCTTCGAGTGTGGAAGACTATAAAATAGAATGGCTCTCAAGACTGTCTCATCTTCCAATTCTGAGTTTCCAGAAAAACATTCTGAAGGATTTTTGAACTGACTTGTTCTTTTTTCAATCAATAGAGCAGCAAGAAGCTTTTTGTCCTTTCTATATTCTCAGTGTTTCTGCTTCCTGGATTCCTGCCCAAATATGCTGTCTTCTGGTTCTGCCAGAACCAGCTGGCAATGTCTAGGCTTAAAATTTATATTGTTTCCTTTTTTCTGTGCCTACCATTCCTTCTTGGGCCCCAAGTCCTTGTTTTAGTGGCACTCTGGACAAGAAGGCCTTCCGGATGCAGAGCCAACTAGAGCACCAGCAGCTGCGGTGCGTGGAGGCTACATCCCCAGCACGTGGGGGCCGCACAGGCAAGCCTGCCGTTAACCCTTTCCTGATGCAGTGCACATTGACAAGGACACACTGTCCTTTTAAACAGGGTGAGCAGGTTCCCTGCCTGCTGGACGTCTGATCCAGTCAGACATTCACAGCAGGTGATATTGCTTCCAGTTCTCTCACTTCCCAACCTGTCTTCTTACGTACCAGTGATGGGTCTGACTGCATCCAATGGTCTGTTTACTGGCTACAGAGCTTTATGGGATGTTCTCCAGGGTTTTTGTCTGTTTAACAGACAACAATGGGGTTTATTTAGTAAAGAATTCAGCCAGGAGTCTTCTTTCTTTTCTGGAAGTTCTCCTCTTTTGCCATGTTTCATTTATAAACACCCCCTGGAAAGTGAATCTGGCATCCAGCTGGACCTGGCTGTGGTCGGGATGAGGCACTGTCCTTGCCTCTTCTTTCAGTAAATGAAATACAGGAAAACACCCAAATAATGAAGAGCGCTGAGGGGATGCTTGACAGATGCTCCTAGAATTTGCTGCCTGCTCACTATCACCTGTCAGTTACAGGAATCTCCCTCCCACCTCATCCAGCAACATAAAGGGGTTAAAGGGGTTGAAAGGAGAGGGTTTCCTTCATTTCTGCAAGATGTCCTTTCCTCTTCCAGAGATCCAGCATGGGCCTTCTGCTCACCCCACCCTGTTACCCCCCCAACTCTTACCCAAGGGACTAAATTGTCCCTAAAACCAGCCTCCTCACCCATGACTGTGTCACAGCCCAGTGAGTTTCTCCCCTCTCTTAATCCCCCATACAAATTTGTCACCTCATCCCCAAAGAGCTTCATCCACTTAAGTGGCTTTAATTTCTAAGGACTTTATAGCTCAGGTGCTCTGAGCTAGAACTGATTTCCAGTATTTCCATCTGTGGTTAGACCACATGTTCAATTATCCTTCCTAAACTTTTCTTGGAAAATAAGATCATAATCACAAATTGTTAGGATTCCCAATCTAGTTCTTCTGACTCTCTATCATCCATCCATCACATCTACCTAGATGTCCCATAGGGCCTGCACACTGAGTGTGTACCAACTACACACAGACTGACCCTAGACCTGTATTCCACCTTTTGGTTATGTCGTCACCTCTACCCACCACCTAACCCTGTTAGCCCACAGATGCTCTGTAACGTGTCCCTAGACTCTCCCCTTATTGCTACCTCTACTACCTGGGTGTAGGCTTTCATAATTCCTTGCCTTCTTCCCAGTTTCCTTCATCTTTGATTCTAGGCCATCCATCACAAAACCCTCAAACAGAACTTCTGAAATCACAGATCTACTCAAATAACACCCCTTCCTGAAATAGTTCTGTGGTTCCCCAATGCTTGGAATATCATTGTCTGAGTGCCTTGACTTAGCAGTTGAAACTTCTGGAGTTCAGCTCCCAACTTAGTCTTCTAGGCTTAGGCCCCACCTCAATATACTATAGTATAACCATGCAGAACACCTCATATGTTCTCAAACTATTATACTCTTTTTGCCTTTTTGAATTCTATTTCTTCTTCCTGGAATGTCCTTATCCATTTTCTGCATGAATGCTTATCTATTAAGATTGAGTGCAACTGTCACCTCTACAAGACTGACCTGACTCCAGCAGGTATTTTCTGTCCCATTTCACTGGGCTGCACAGCCATGTCTTGGACCTTCCTCAGGGGCACCAAACTCAGTCATGTCCACTTTATATTTGATTAAGCCATGAGCTCCAAAGGTGGAGCCTGTGCTTATCTTTGCAACCCCTTCAACACCCAGCTGGCTACCTCTTACAGAACAGGCATGCTACAAACATCTGAATGTAAGTATATATATATGTTTATATGTTAGATAGATGGATAAATCAATCAACTATAATTACAACAGGCACAACAGGCATAAGATTTGATAAGCATAATTTTTTTTTAAAGGAAAAGGTGAAACCTGGTCAACTTCTTTCTTTAATCCTAAACTCTGATGAAGGGTATATAGAATTTATGATTGAAAAGCGGATTCCACAGCAAAATACACATTATTTTTTCAAGCACTGATGAAACACTCACCAAGATTAATCATATTCTGGACAATAAAACTAATTTTAATAAATTTAAGACAATTTAAATCATATAATGTATGTTGTCTAACAATAATGAAATTAAGCAAGAAGTCAACAGCAGAAAGACAACAGGAAAGTCTGCATACACGTGGAAATCACACAGCACACTACTGATAAATAATCATGGGTCAAAGAGGAAATCTCAAAAGAAATAAAAATACATAGAACTGAATGAAAATGAAGCACAACACAACATATCAAAACATGTGGGATGCAGCCAAAGCAATATGGAAAGGAAAATTTATAGAACAAATAGAAATGAGGACAGGCCTTAAATCAATAAGCACAGACCTCAAAAAATTAAAAAAAAGAAGGCCAAAATAAACCCAAAGTGAGTGGGAAGAAAGAAATAAAAAAAGCATAAAGCAATGAAATTGAAAATGGGAAAAAAAAATAGAGGAATATCAATGAAACAAGAGCCTGGTTCTTCAAAAAAAATCAATAAAATTGATAAATCTCTAGAAAAAATGGCAAAAACAATAATAAAAAAGAGATCACCAATATCAAGCATGAAATAGGAAATATGACCATATATCCTGCAGCTGTTAAAAAGATATAGAGTACTACCAACAATTTTACACTCACAAATTGAACAACTTAGAGGATCAATTCTTTATAAACCATAAACTACCAAAACTCAACCAAGATGAAATACACAACTGAATAGTACTATAACCATCAAAGAAATTAAATTTATAATTAAAGATCTCCCCAAAAAGAAATTTCCAGGCACAGATGATTTCACTGGAAAATTCTACCAATATTTAAAGAAGAATTAATAACAATTTTACACAATCTATTTCAGAAAGTAGAGAAGGGAACACTTCCAAACTTATTTTGTGAGGCCAGTGTTATCCTGATATCAAAATCAGATAAAGACAGTAAATATGGAAAAAGACCAATGTGTTAATGATGTTAGATGCCAAAAAATCCTCCATAAAGTATTAGCAAATTGAATCCAACAACATAAAAAATGATTATACACTATTACCAAGTGGGATTTATTCCAAGTATGTAAGGCTAGTTTAACATTTGAAAATCAATCTACCATATCAATCAACAAGCTAAAAGAAAAATCATATGATCATATCAGTTGATTCAGTAAAAGTATGAAAAAAATCCAACACTTATTTATAACAAAAACTCAGCAAGTTACTAACAGAAGGAATTACCTCAACTTGATTTAAAAAAACAGCTATAAAAAAATCATACTTAACAGTGAAAGATTAAATGCTTTCCCTTTAACATCAAGAACAAGGCAAGAATGTCTGTTGTCACCACACTTATTCAACACAGTACTAGAAATCCTAGACACAGCAATAGGGCAAGAAAAAGAAATAAAATGTATATAGATTAGAAAGGAATAAAAGGAGGGGGTGGGTATGGCTTTGGGTGTTAGAATGATTCAGTATCTTGATTGTTGTGGTAGAAACAAAAATCTACTCATGTGATAAATTGGAGAAAACTATATATACACACACAGGAGAAAAATATAAAATATAAAATTCAGATCAGTGGGTTGCATCAATAATTATCTGGGTTGTAATATTATACTATACTTTGCAAATGTTACCACTGGGGGAAACCAGGTAAAGTATACATGGAATTGAAGGATTATTCTTACAACTGCATGTGAATCTGTAAGTATATTAATAAAAATTTCAATTAAGCAAAAAGCAGACATCAAATCAAAGGCAGATTATTAGAGGAACTTCTAGGATCAGTTAATAGCGGGTTATCTTTTATTTTACCTTTTTATGGGGAAGGTCAGTGGTCTCAGAGAGTCAGAAATCCATGTTTCACTAATTTTACATAGAAGTCAGTGGCAAGAGGTTTACAGTAGAGTGGGAGAATGAATGCCAGGCTGCTAAGGATTATGGAGATGTAAGAGGCTAGGAGGTAAAACTAATGATTTATACTGAAAGGAAATGAGCTAACTGGGCAACTCAATGAAGCAGCACAGGCAAAGAGTTGCCACTTCTGGGTGAGGAAGATCTGGGCATATTTGTGGGCTGAGAAAAGGCCAGAGTCTTCATCCTTGAGACAGGAGAGAAGAGGAACAAGGGTGAGAACATAGCGGGACTCTGAGATGGAAGGGAAAGTGAGGAGGCCCTGGATGGCCTTGACCTCTGTAAATGTCATCTGCTGAGAGGACAGTGAAGCTGAGTCTCAGGGGGCAGGGTGAAGAAGAGTGGTGGATTGCTGCACCCAGTAGAGATCAGTACAGAAGGCCAGACCACCCCAGAGTCCGCTTGAGATGGGACTGGGGGAAGCAGGAGGAGAGACAAATGGCAGCCCTAGAGGATTTCTTCTTAAACTTATACTAGCTTTGATTCTCATTACAAAGAGTACACAATCATTGTAGAAATGAGAATATGTAACAACATACAAATAAAAATATAAAACATGTTCCTAAACACACCATATAGAGATAATAACTGTCAAAATTATGACATCTTCTTCAAGGTCTTTCCTCAGCTCATATAGTTTTATACAAGGGTATTTTTATAAAATTTGGATCTTATATAGCTCTGTATACTATTTTTTCATTTAACATTAGGTCAGGACCATTTTCCTTCAAAACTTTTTTTAATAATGACAAAATATTTAGTATATTGTCATCCCATAATTTTTCCAATTATTCCCCTTTGGAACATCTGAATGCTTTTCCTTTCTTTCAATTACAAATAACTGCAGTGAATCTCTGTGTATATAAATCCATGTGCACATTTGGGATCATTTTCTCAGGGCAACTTCATTAGATAGTATGTCCCAGAAGCATCAGTTGGCCTGAGGGCAGAGAAGGGGTGGGTTTGAGTGGACCCAGGAGATAATGGACAGTCAAGAGGCTTAGAGGGGCCAGGTGAAATGCCCTGCGGAGGGGGAGGCGAGGCACAGGTTGGGAAGCATTAAGGAAAGTAGGTAAGGGGATTAGAAGTTGAAATTTGGGTGAAGAGGAGTCCAGCAAGACCAAAGGCTGCCCACTCAGTCAGGACTAGACTGTGTCTCTTGCCCTCAGAGCTCCTTCTCCTAGCTAGGCTTCCTTCCATCTTTCATGGACCACCTTCTGGCAAGCACTGTTAATTCTTTCAGTGACTTATCTCCCTAGGGCAAACTGACTGCAGATACTCTTGAGAATATAGAGTTTCCTAATGACCCTTCCCTCCCCTCAACCAATGCTGGACATGGCTGTGGTCCGTACCTCTTTGACAACTAATTTATGGCTATTGATAAGACATGTGGTAAGAGTTAGTACTCACTGTCTTCATGCGTCCATATGAGCTGAGGTGCACTTGGAGGCCCATCCCCTGGAGTGGTGAAGCACAGAACTGACGTGAAGTAAGCAGTGAATTTCTTCAAGTTAGCTATATACCCTTGGTGGACTCCATGGAAATCTGGAGCAATGGTGACTACAGTGATAGCCTCAGGGTCATCAGCAGGCCACGCTAGAAGCTGGGATGGAACAAGTTGAAAAAGAGATCCTTTTTAATTGCATTTCTTCACTCTCAAGTCTGTATTAGAATTTCAGTTTGCAATTAATATGTCTTCAAAGAAAGGAAAGTCATAATTAAGAAATTCTATAAAGCCTACATTTTATAATCTCACTTCAAAATACTGAGTTTAAAAGATATCTCATAGGTTATTGAAACCAAATATGTACATTTATATATTTTATACATGTGCATATAAATATCTACTTTAACTCATATTGGAAAAATTCACACTCCTCAACCTTTACCATCTCTTCATTTAAACATGACACAGATCACATATGTTTTTTAACAATAAGGGTGATGATGACACCATCTTCATTCAAGTGAGTGAGTACAGTGAAACCTAAATACAAGCATTTTTCCAGAAAGGTACCTACTCTAATTCTAAAAGAAGTCCTCGATTCAATGAGAACAATCTTACTTATTTATACTTTATGTTATACTAGTTTTCTGAAAAAAATTTTAGGAGATTGATTACAATTTAAAAGAAATATAGTATATATATATAAAAATATATATATTTATATTCTGAGGGATATTTTTAGTGCTTGGGCAAAACTATATATGAGTGTGATTTTTAATTCATTTGACACCAAAAATTTCCAGGGTTAATTAGGTCTGAAAGTTGGCCTGCTGCAGGACACAAAGAGGCATATTTACACAGCTCAAACCAACAACCAAGCCACTGAATAAATAGCCCAGTCTTGCCAATTAGACCTGACAGGAGAGTGAAGAGGGCAAAATCATCATGGTTGATAATATGATTTTCTTTCAAAAAAGCTTCTGACTGGAGATACATCTGAGGAAAAAGAAAAGACAGGACAAATTCTAGCTACATATTCTGTTCTACTGGGAAAAAAAAGGTGTTTTAATAAGTTGACTCCAAATGGAAAAAAACTACTGATGTACCTAAGGAAATTACACTCTCTGAATCTGAAATTGCCAAGGATTCAAGCAGACCAGGTAGAATCCCTTCTCGGGAAAGATCATTCCTGAGTTTACCTGCTGTTGCTGAAGATGAGTGAATGTGTGGTAGGTAAGATGAAGATGGGCTCCAACCATGGGAAGCTGATCTAAAAGGTAAGATGAGCTATGCTTTTGGACACTGTATCCAAATACATCTATGAAGATTAACATTCTGGTAGCTAAGGACAAAGGGAAATTGGATGGTGAATTTGTCTGTGCCTCTAATTCAGTCCAGGTAGGTGCTCTCAATCAATTGGTCTCAGTTCTATAAACAGAACTCTCCTTACAGTAGAGGGGGCAAGGAATAAATATTCTTACTTGAGGGAAGTATCATTCAATTACGTCCAGCGCCCTTTCTTTTGTCTGTGTTCTTCTGAAAGGACACCCTTCCAGGAAGAAGTGGTTCGTATGTATGCTGATTCCAGTCCACTGAGATAGGTCTCCCACTGGTAAATTTTGAAGTAAATGGACTTTCTCATAAGAACTTGCTCTACTGTGCATGAAATAGTCTCTTGAAAATGAATAATCTGAGTTTCTGAACCAGTATAGCTGATGGATAAATGGTGACCCCACTGAGGTCAACATGCCCTGTAACTTGATGCAATGAGTTCCTGATGAAATGAGGGTTGGGGAGCCTCCCCACTGACCACAAGACCATGAGTACCAGAACAGCCACCCAGGGGCCTTAGGCAGGCTGTGTACCTTGTATCCCTGGTTGATGCCATTGATGAACTGCTGAGGCGCAGGGTTCCACAGGAACTGAATGGTCGTGGAGTTCACAGCTTGCATCTGCACGTTCTGCGGGGGTGCAGTAGGCACTGGACCGAGGCAGTCACGGGAGAAGCACAACAGGAGGAGGCACAGCAGGGAGAAGAGGTGAAAAAGGAACCTTTAGCTGCCACTCATGAGTCACAGGCAATCACAGCACCGAGAACAGGGAAGAGTGATGCATGTTTTTGGAGGTTCGTCAGCATTACAAAGAAAGTGAATAGGGCTATATTGCATTTTCTGTTGTTGAACTCTTTAAGGCAGGACAGAATAGTGGACTAGATAATCTCATTACATGGGCGAGCCTTTTCTAGGGATCCCAAGCTGGAGAACAAACAAAAGCATTCTCTATCTTTTTCAATTGCCCAATATTTGAGATCAAGGCAAGGATTCATCTAGACAGCCACCTCCCGCATCATATGCCACTACATTTCAAGCCCAATTATCCTTTATGTGAGAGAAAAAAAATCATCCCCTCCCATGTGTATTGTTGTTTATTTATTTGGAGGCTAAATTTTTCTTTGTCAGGGGGTCACTATTTAAAATTTTTTCCCATTTCTTTCTTTCTTTTATTGAACCCGATTATATAATCTGCCAATTCTAGGGGAGAGAGTCATGTAATTGAAACAGGCAAATCACTCCCTGGAGCAGTAAACACACAGGGCACCATGACTGAATCTGCCCTGGGAAAGCAGGGGAGGCTTTGGATCAGGAGACATCTGTACTAGGTCTGGAAGAAAGGCAGACCTTTGAGAGGGAAAGGCCTTGTTTGGGAAAACAGAGTGAGCAAAGGCATGGCAGTATGAGAATTCTGGCATATGGTGAGAAACAGTGAGCATGGCAGACATGCGGGAGGGGGTGCAGGGCCGCAGGAGTGGAGAGATCACTCTGGGCGTTGCCTCATATGCGCAATGCAGAGGGTGATAATGTACATGGTAGGCCTTGGGGAAGCAAAGGGTTTTCGAAGAAGGCGTGATATGACATGGCGAGCTTTTTAAGGATGATAGCCCCAGTGGTCCCTAAAGAGGGGATTAGATCACTGGCCATCAAACTTTCTGCAGGGTCCACAGGAAGGTCCTGGATCTTCAGGAGTTTGTTTTAAAAGTAAGACACAGAAGCCCAAAGGATCCTTTGGCTCAAGACAAACCAAGACAAGAGTCTCCTGGCACAGAACACACGGGCACAGAGCACGGTCCTGTTAACAATGACCACACCTTGTATTATGCTCCTCTGCAAAAGCTCACATCATGAGGCAGAGATAGAGCAGACAATCCTTCTCAAGGCTGCTCTTCTGAGTCTTATTCTTTTCCCATCTGCTTTTGACCCTGACTGTGATATCCTTGTTCCTTCCCTCCACAAGTCATCAAGAAAGTGTCCTACTTCCCCACTCAGCATGCATCCACAATTTGTGGATTAACATGGCCACAGGGATTGCTGTGCCTAGGTTGTAGAATGTTGGAAAGAACATCACATCTAAGAACAGGAAAAAGCTGAAGTAACTATAAAATCACACATTTTCTTGAGCCCATAGGAAAGATGAGGTCAACAGGGCAACCAAGTAGACTGAAATACAAGAAAAGAAGGGCCTTTTCAAGCATTAAGGATACGAGGGCTGGCTCACCTGCGACAGCATGAGAAAAAGATTCAATGGACACCATATAGTTGGATAAAGAAAATTCAGCTATAATTCTCTTTCTCTTTTTTTATTGGTACCATTAATATACAATCACATGAGCAACATTCAGCTACAATTCTTAATGAGTTGCTTAGGGTCAATGTGAAGTAGCATGGTAGTAGAGAATGTTTGGAAGCTGCAGAAATACACAAAAGATACAGTAAATACATAGATGCAAAGACAAGAATTGTAGCAGCCTTCTCATCAGAACTACGTGAGCCAGAAGGTAATGGAGTGATATCTTAAAAGTACTGACAGAAAAATCTATTGTCCCAGAATTCTATATCCTGTGAAAATATCTTTTAAATATGAAGTAAAATAAAGACATTTTCAGAAAGACAAAAACTGAGAGAATTCATTACTAGTAGACCTGCACTATAAAAAATGTTAAAGGAATTCAACATCAGACACCAAAATTTTAGATCTCTGCAAAGAAATGATGATTTTCAGAAATTGTTAAAATGAAGGTAAATATATTTTTTTCTTATTTTGGACTCACTCTCAAAGGTAATTGACTGTTTAAAGCAATAATAGTAGAAATTTATTGTGGGTTTATAATATATTTAAGAATAAAATGAATGGCCTCAAAAGCACACAGCATGGGAAGGAAGGATTGGAAGTATACTGTTATAAGGTTCTTACATTGCACATGTAGTATATTTCAAGATAGATAGTAATTAATTAATGATACATATTTTAAATTACAGAGCAATCACTAACCAAGTTTGAAAAAGAGATATAGTTAAGGCAAGAGTGGAAAAAAATAATGTAAATATAAAAATACCTAGTTAATACAAAATCAGGCAGGCAAAAAGAAAAGTAAAAAATATGAGAGGTAACAAACAGAAAACAATGAGCAAGATGGTAGATTTTAATCCTATCATCTCAATAATTGTGTTAAAAATAAACATAATAAGTCTATATATACCAATAAAAGATAGGTTGTCAGATAAGATGAAAAGTAAGACCTAGCTCTATGGTATCTAAAAGAATCCCACTTTAAATATGAAGACATAAATAGCTTAAAAGTAAAAGAATGTTAAAAATACATAAAACACTAATTAAAACAAATTTTGAGTGATTATATTACTATCAGACAAAGTAGATATCCTATCAAGGAATAAAATCAATGATAAAGAGGAGAATTATACAATGATGAAGAAGATATATTCACCACAAATACTTAACACCCTAAATGTGTATGCAACAGAACTTCAGGATATAAGAGGCAAAACCAGTAACAATGAAAGGAGAAACAGACAAATCTACTATTGTAATTAGAGTCTTTAATATTCCTTTCTGAGTGCATGAAATAGTCTCTTGAAAATGAATAATCTGAGTTTCTGAACCAGTATAGCTGATGGATAAATGGTGACCCCACTGAGGTCAACATGCCCTGTAACTTGATGCAATGAGTTCCTGATGAAATGAGGGTTGGGGAGCCTCCCCACTGACCACAAGACCATGAGTACCAGAACAGCCACCCACGGGCCTTAGGCAGGCTGTGTACCTTGTATCCCTGGTTGATGCCATTGATGAACTGCTGAGGCGCAGGGTTCCACAGGAACTGAATGGTCGTGGAGTTCACAGCTTGCATCTGCACGTTCTGCGGGGGTGCAGTAGGCACTGGACCGAGGCAGTCACGGGAGAAGCACAACAGGAGGAGGCACAGCAGGGAGAAGAGGTGAAAAAGGAACCTTTAGCTGCCACTCATGAGTCACAGGCAATCACAGCACCGAGAACAGGGAAGAGTGATGCATGTTTTTGGAGGTTCGTCAGCATTACAAAGAAAGTGAATAGGGCTATATTGCATTTTCTGTTGTTGAACTCTTTAAGGCAGGACAGAATAGTGGACTAGATAATCTCATTACATGGGCGAGCCTTTTCTAGGGATCCCAAGCTGGAGAACAAACAAAAGCATTCTCTATCTTTTTCAATTGCCCAATATTTGAGATCAAGGCAAGGATTCATCTAGACAGCCACCTCCCGCATCATATGCCACTACATTTCAAGCCCAATTATCCTTTATGTGAGAGAAAAAAAATCATCCCCTCCCATGTGTATTGTTGTTTATTTATTTGGAGGCTAAATTTTTCTTTGTCAGGGGGTCACTATTTAAAATTTTTTCCCATTTCTTTCTTTCTTTTATTGAACCCGATTATATAATCTGCCAATTCTAGGGGAGAGAGTCATGTAATTGAAACAGGCAAATCACTCCCTGGAGCAGTAAACACACAGGGCACCATGACTGAATCTGCCCTGGGAAAGCAGGGGAGGCTTTGGATCAGGAGACATCTGTACTAGGTCTGGAAGAAAGGCAGACCTTTGAGAGGGAAAGGCCTTGTTTGGGAAAACAGAGTGAGCAAAGGCATGGCAGTATGAGAATTCTGGCATATGGTGAGAAACAGTGAGCATGGCAGACATGCGGGAGGGGGTGCAGGGCCGCAGGAGTGGAGAGATCACTCTGGGCGTTGCCTCATATGCGAAATGCAGAGGGTGATAATGTACATGGTAGGCCTTGGGGAAGCAAAGGGTTTTCGAAGAAGGCGTGATATGACATGGCGAGCTTTTTAAGGATGATAGCCCCAGTGGTCCCTAAAGAGGAGATTAGATCACTGGCCATCAAACTTTCTGCAGGGTCCACAGGAAGGTCCTGGATCTTCAGGAGTTTGTTTTAAAAGTAAGACACAGAAGCCCAAAGGATCCTTTGGCTCAAGACAAACCAAGACAAGAGTCTCCTGGCACAGAACACACGGGCACAGAGCACGGTCCTGTTAACAATGACCACACCTTGTATTATGCTCCTCTGCAAAAGCTCACATCATGAGGCAGAGATAGAGCAGACAATCCTTCTCAAGGCTGCTCTTCTGAGTCTTATTCTTTTCCCATCTGCTTTTGACCCTGACTGTGATATCCTTGTTCCTTCCCTCCACAAGTCATCAAGAAAGTGTCCTACTTCCCCACTCAGCATGCATCCACAATTTGTGGATTAACATGGCCACAGGGATTGCTGTGCCTAGGTTGTAGAATGTTGGAAAGAACATCACATCTAAGAACAGGAAAAAGCTGAACTAACTATAAAATCACACATTTTCTTGAGCCCATAGGAAAGATGAGGTCAACAGGGCAACCAAGTAGACTGAAATACAAGAAAAGAAGGGCCTTTTCAAGCATTAAGGATACGAGGGCTGGCTCACCTGCGACAGCATGAGAAAAAGATTCAATGGACACCATATAGTTGGATAAAGAAAATTCAGCTATAATTCTCTTTCTCTTTTTTTATTGGTACCATTAATATACAATCACATGAGCAACATTCAGCTACAATTCTTAATGAGTTGCTTAGGGTCAATGTGAGGTAGCATGGTAGTAGAGAATGTTTGGAAGCTGCAGAAATACACAAAAGATACAGTAAATACATAGATGCAAAGACAAGAATTGTAGCAGCCTTCTCATCAGAACTACGTGAGCCAGAAGGTAATGGAGTGATATCTTAAAAGTACTGACAGAAAAATCTATTGTCCCAGAATTCTATATCCTGTGAAAATATCTTTTAAATATGAAGTAAAATAAAGACATTTTCAGAAAGACAAAAACTGAGAGAATTCATTACTAGTAGACCTGCACTATAAAAAATGTTAAAGGAATTCAACATCAGACACCAAAATTTTAGATCTCTGCAAAGAAATGATGATTTTCAGAAATTGTTAAAATGAAGGTAAATATATTTTTTTCTTATTTTGGACTCACTCTCAAAGGTAATTGACTGTTTAAAGCAATAATAGTAGAAATTTATTGTGGGTTTATAATATATTTAAGAATAAAATGAATGGCCTCAAAAGCACACAGCATGGGAAGGAAGGATTGGAAGTATACTGTTATAAGGTTCTTACATTGCACATGTAGTATATTTCAAGATAGATAGTAATTAATTAATGATACATATTTTAAATTACAGAGCAATCACTAACCAAGTTTGAAAAAGAGATATAGTTAAGGCAAGAGTGGAAAAAAATAATGTAAATATAAAAATACCTAGTTAATACAAAATCAGGCAGGCAAAAAGAAAAGTAAAAAATATGAGAGGTAACAAACAGAAAACAATGAGCAAGATGGTAGATTTTAATCCTATCATCTCAATAATTGTGTTAAAAATAAACATAATAAGTCTATATATACCAATAAAAGATAGGTTGTCAGATAAGATGAAAAGTAAGACCTAGCTCTATGGTATCTAAAAGAATCCCACTTTAAATATGAAGACATAAATAGCTTAAAAGTAAAAGAATGTTAAAAATACATAAAACACTAATTAAAACAAATTTTGAGTGATTATATTACTATCAGACAAAGTAGATATCCTATCAAGGAATAAAATCAATGATAAAGAGGAGAATTATACAATGATGAAGAAGATGTATTCACCACAAATACTTAACACCCTAAATGTGTATGCAACAGAACTTCAGGATATAAGAGGCAAAACCAGTAACAATGAAAGGAGAAACAGACAAATCTACTATTGTAATTAGAGTCTTTAATATTCCTTTCTGAATAAGAGTAGACAGAGAAATCAGTAAGGAAATACAAGACCTGACTAATACCATCATGTACCTTGACCTACATGATATCTACTTAAAAATCCACCCAACAATAGCAGAATATACATTCTTTTCAACTGCACATGGAGCTTAACAGAGATAGACATATTTTGAGCCATAAAACAAAGCTAAACAAATTTAAAATAATGGAAATAACAAAAAAATATGTTTTATGACCCCAACAGAATTAAACTTGAAATTAACAATAGAAAGATATGGAAAATCCCTAAAAATTTGGAAATTAAACAATATACTTCAAAATAACATGAGTCAAAGAGGAAGTTACATGGAAAATTACAAAGCACTTTTAACTTAATGAAAATGAAAACAAACATATCAAAATTTATGGAATGCAGAAATGTTAGAGGGAAACTTATAGCATTAGATGTTTATATTAGAACCTAAGCTTCTTTCTTAAGAATATATGTTAATTAAACCAAAAAGGAGCAGATGGAAGGAAAGTGAGGAAAAAGAGCAGAAATCGAGGAAATGAAAATAGAAAAATAATAGAAAAAATCAATGAAAGAAAACGCCAGTTCTTTTGTAGTTCTTTTAAAAATGTCAATAAACCTCAACCCAGACTGATTAAGGATAAAAGAGAAATAATAAATTATCAATATTACCAATATAGAGTCACTTTTTCAAACCCTCCTGATAATAAAAGAATAAAAGAACATTTTGAGCATCTTTATGCTCATAAATTCAACAACTCAGATGAAATGGGTAAGTTCCCTAAAAGAACTCCAAAATTTACTCATGAAGAAATAAATAATCTGAGTAGTCCTATAGCTATTAAATATTTGAATACATAATCAAAACCATCCAACAAAGAAAACACGTAAGGTTCACTGATGAATTCTACTAAGCATTTGAAGAAGAAATATAAGCAATTCTAAAGCATTTACTCTGACATTAAAATCAGAAAAAACATTAAAACAAAACTACAGACCACTATCCCTCATGAACACAGGTACAAAAAATCTCAATAAAATATTAGAAAACCTAATTCAGCAATATATAAAAATCATGATTTTTTTTTATCAATTGAAATTTATTTTATAAATGCAAGGCTGTTCAATATCTGAATATCAATTAGGGTAATTCAGCATATCAACAGAATAAAGGAAAAAATGTGATCATCTTAATAGATTTAGAAAAAGCATTTGACAAAATTCAACATCCAATAGTAATTAAAAAACAACTCCAAGTAGGAATTAAAAGGAACTTCCTAAACTGGCTAAGTGGCAACTTTAAGATACCTACAACTGATATCTTACTTAACATGAAAGACTGAATGCTTTCCCCATAAGATCAGGAAAAAAACAAAGATGTCTTTCTCATCATTCCTATTCTGGAAGTGCAAGCCAGGACAGTAGTGCAAGAAAAAGAAATAAAAGGCATATAGGTCGGAAAGGAACAGAAACCTCTCTCTATTCACAGGCAGTATGATTGTCTTCATAGAAAGTTCCTGAGTCTACAAAAATGCTCCTATAACTGAGGCTAGCAAGATCACAGGATACAAGATCAAAATACAAAAGTCAATTACCTTCTAAACATGAGCAATGAACAATTAGAAACTGAAAATGAAAAGTAAGTACCATTTAAATAGCAATTAAAACATCAAATAGATATAAATTTAACAAACCCTGTGCAAGGTTTGTATGCTGAAAACTAAAACAGTGATGAAAGAAACCAAAGACCTAAGTAAATGGAGAGTCATATGATGATGGATTGGAAGACAACATAATAAAGATGTCAATTCTTCTCAAATTGATTTACAGGTTGAATCCAATTCAAATAAAAATCACAGCTAGCATTTTTTAATTGAAAAGTTGACTTTAAAATTTATACAGAAAAGCAAAGGAATTAGAATAGCCAAACTGAATTTGAAAAAAGAAAAAATTGGACAACCTTCACTACATGATCAAAACTAAGTATAAATCTACAGTAATTAAAACAGAATGTTATTGGAGAAAGGATGGACATACTGATCAGTGAAACAGACAGAGAATCCAGAATTTACTC